ATCAGTTCAGTCTGTATGACCTCAGCATAAATTCAGACTTATTTTAGGAAAAGAAATGCCTTTTTTCTGTCACTAGAGGTAATAATAACTGTAGACTCCACAGTTTTTACAGTCTGGAGGTGAAACCAGGAGGAGCTAAACTAAAATTATTTCACATTTATTTCACAAGAGGTGCCACAACTGATTTACCAAGGCGTTGTTTCAATTTTTGTTGCCATGTAGGGCTAAAACTATAGATTTTCCCCATTATGAATTATTGGGTCTTGATTAGTTGATTGATCTTTTGGTCTCTAAAATGTCAGAGAATATACAAATGAGCATTACAGTACTAAAACTGAAGGGGACGTGTGTCAGTTGCTTGTTTTGTCTGACCGGTAGTCCAAGAAATTCACTTTACTGTCCCATAAAAGCAAACAACAAACAGGCAATGTTTGACTTCTAGGGTTAATCAGTTATCAAGAAAGTTGTTGATTAATTTTTTGTGAACAACTAAGCCATTAGCAGTTTTTTTCATACCACAATATGTACAAGTATTGTTGATAAGGATCCCTTGTATTTGGTTTTGCCAACTTGTGGACAAACTCTGTAATGGCACCACAGTCTCAAACATATGTCATCATCCATTAATACATACCACATTAATACAACCATTTTCACCCAACTGTTCTTTAGTAAGGAATGTAAAACCGGTATCATTTATTCAGTATTTCATAAAAAGGTGGCACAATCTAAGGGCTCCAAACCCATTATTTTTATTATTATATATTAATGGATAAATGGTCCTTAAAATGTCAGAAAATGGTAACAAAAAATGTTGATCAGTGTTTCCAAAAACCCAAGGTGACGGGGGAAGCGATGTTGAGCATGTTAAAAGTAGATAGCTATTGGACAAATTGTTATTTTAAACATTGGTATTGGCCCGGTCGGTGCATACAAATCCGTCAATAATTTTTCAAATAAATGATCAATTGTTCAATCTATAGAATATCAGAGCCCAATGAGATGTCTTCCGAGAGCTTGATGTGACTGACAGATATCATCAATAAGTTGGTGGTCAATAAAATATCAGTAAACCTTTTTATTTTTTTAAAGGCAAAAGGCAATTTCCCAACTTCACTTCTTCAGATTTACCAACAGCCCAAAACAAAATAACAAAAAACAGTTTTCAGTCATAAAAACAAAGAAAAGCTGCATATTTTCACATTTGACAACTGGAAGCAGTCCAGTTTGCTTGAAAAACTGCAGTGCTTAAATATCTGTCAGCTGACCAACTAGATCAAATCCTCTTTTACTGTGTACATTTAGCTAGCAGGCGTTAAATTCATCAACGTTATGAAAAGTATGGGTGATGGTTTTGTTTAGAGTTAAATCCCTGCATCATCATCATCTCTTCCCACTTCCAGTTTTTAAATATAGTTCTAGTTCTTAAGTAACCTCGTATGTACGTCTGTGAACAAAAACCATAGCGAACATCCAATCACATCACTGGTTGTCAAGGTGCACCCATCATATCTTATTTAATCTTTCTCTTATTTCCCTCTCTCATACACACACATCCTGCTGCACACACACACGCAGAGCGCCTTGGCATCGTCATAGGGTTCAGTGGCCTTTGAAGCAGCGTGCGTGGAGAATGAATAGCTGGATGCAGCCTGTAGGAAAAGATGAGGAATGAACAGAAGTGAGTTCGGGTCGATGTTGCGGGAGAAGAAAGATTGGCATTGACTTTTCTGCTGTGTGGACGCTCATCTCCTATTGGCCATCTTTCCTCCCATCTAAATCAACACATCTGAGCATCGATCGGGCTCTTGCTCGGCTCCATGGATGCTTTAACAAAGCGCATTAAAGAGCCAGCTTTATTGTTTATGTCCTTGTAACAGTGTTGATCCAACGGGTCCCTGTGGGCAGGGCTTTGTCACGTGTCAACTTATGGCTCTGTGCATTGTGGATGTTTTCATTATAACCACTTCAAACCTGGTTAATGGACTGATGCTGGCTCTTTTCTGAATTGTGAGTCCAGGTTTGGTCCTCATGAGCTAGAGAGCTATCAGTTTGTCACGTGAAAGTGAGGGGGGCAGATCGTGTTTTCAAGATCATGAAGAAAGCCCTAGATAGATTATATGGAAGTAATGCGATGTCTTTCATGCATTTTTATTAAAAGTATATCAAATCATACAAATCTCCTGTGACCCCATTGGTCAGGGACATTTGGGACATTTGGGACATCAAAAATTTAATGTGGGGCTTTCTGCATAGCCCCCTTCTCAACGTAATTATTGTTTTTCTGTGGTCGTGACTGAAAACTAAGTCCGATACCCGGTAAGGCTGCTCAATTAATCGA